ACGGCTAGGGCTTTTCTATCCAAGTCAGCCCATTCTTCATCCTTCATCTTCTCGGGTTTCTGACCTGTCAAACATGGAAGAAGATCTTTCTGACATAGCAAGTCCTCGACTTGCATCTTCCACCATCCAAAATCTTGCCCATCAAACTTCTCTATCCTGATCTTTCCGTCCTCAGACACCATGTCTTCTGAGTATCCAAAAATCTGACCAGAGAACACGTGAGACCAGATTGAAACAAACAACCAGAACTGACCTCGAAAATTGCAGCAGCAAACTGAACAGTAAGGTTGTTCGGACTGCCCACAGATGACTATCTCGGTGGTCTTCTGATGTGTCGGCAGAAACCCTAGAGTCGCTAGGGTTGGCAGTGGAGGCAGATCTGTGTGTATGACCTAGGCTCTGATACCAGTTGTTAAGAACAAAAGCACACACACACGAATAGAAAGCAAGAAAGCAATAGAGAACACGAGATTTAACGTGGTTCGGTCTAATCTGACCTACATCCACAGGGGCAACTAGGGTTTGTATTATTGAGTGATGATGATTACAAGTACAGGAGATCAAATATATAGACAACTAATTAGGGTTTAACCCTTGCTGGACAAGTTATAGCAAACTGGGCTTAAAACCATTTGGGCCGGCCGAAACCCTAATCTGATCTCCTAATTCTCAGTTGTCTACAAGTGGGCCACTTTGGGCCGATGACTACACATCACCAACAAAGGGGGGGGGATAAATCAAAAGACTCATCCCCTTTATATGTGTGTGTGTGTGTGTCTATATATATAATAAAGTGCATCGAGCCTCATAGTAATTTCTAATGCATCTAAAGACTCTTCAATCATCTAAATCAAAGTTTGTTTAGGCGTACGTGTGGACACATCATCAGTACATTTGTTGGTTTCTAATTTCCAAATTTGTAATCACATTTTGGTTAAACATTGGTTTTATATCCATCAGGTTAAACTTTCTTCTTGTTCCTGTTTTTGTCTGAAAATTGTCGAGTAGGCAAGTACTCGTTGAGTAAGTTTGCTTTGTAAATAACTTCAACATGTAAAATGAGTCACTTAGACCAAAAGCTACCAAGAAACAAGAACTCAAGAGTAACTTGGATTTGTGATTAATCTTGCACAAAAGAACTGCAATGTAAGGTTTGTGTACAATACATCCTTGTGGTAGGACCCTTCTTTTGCTCCATGCTCAGCAAGGATAATATTCTGCACTAGGCTGTCCTTTTTCTAAGGTTACTGGCGTTGCCCTTTTTCTCATTGATTTATAACTTTGCTTTAGTTTTTCTGTGGAGGCTATGTAAATTTGTGGGGTTTGTTTAGGAATTGTGGATGTGCTATACATTTAAATGTGAGGGACTCAATTGATCACTTTAATTTATGCAAATTCGATTGCACCAAATTGATACATATGGTTACATTATAGAATCTGAAATAACTAGGCGATGCTTTGTTTTCCTTCTGAACTAATTTTTGT